CGAATATTTGTTTTTTCAAATAACAGCTCTGGCAACCGTCAATATACTCGAATTTCACTAGCCCAAGGGTTTCCTAGTTTTTTGAGCACTAGGTTTGTACTCATCGATTACATTACAACACTGGTATTCTTAAACTTGTCCATTTTTCACACGTATTTGAATGAGAGATCCAGATGTGAAATAAAAACACTATAAGAGTTTATTCACATGTATAAATTGTTGTGAGCTTCCGTTCTTCCTCACTTGCTTCGGTCTCCACGTAGTTCAGTACGTACCAACAGGTTGGTAAGATTTTGTACTTGTTTTCAGCAGCATACTTGAAGCCTTCCTGCAATATAAACAAAGATTATACTTTCAATTTGTATGCTCCAAAGCAACAACATCGAGAAACTCGCTGGAAATCGGGTGGATTAGCCGTTATGGGACCGCATGCTTCGACTAACATGCATTTTGAAAGCGAAAGATTTTTGCAGCTATCATCCTATCATGAGACCGTCGTCCCAGTAGTGAAAGAAGTGGGTTCAAGGGAAGAGGCGCAACTATCACACGCACGCTTCTGAGATCGCATCTCACACGAAACCGTCCAGAACAACCAAGCTTCCCACCCTTTCAAGATCAGATAAATCACCGATACCAAAATATTTGGATGTATGAAAACAGACTGTGCGGGGCTCATCGTTTCTCAAGCAGGGTCTATTATACTCTGAAAAAAATTGGTGTAGGTATTACCACCGCGCTCGGAGTGGCTTTCCATGGGAACTCCCGACGCCTCTGCTATGATAGTCTGTCTTGATGTTATGATATTAATATTTCCACAGCTTACCTCACGTTTCTAAACTTCCTTGCCTTGGTCCTACACAGAACTCACCCCTCACATCTGCAATATTTGGGGTGAGGAAAAGCACTGCGGATAAGGCGAAGAGTACCCAATTCTCGGAATTACTTCGAAATCTCGCAAACGTCTTCCCATTTACTGCAAATTGCTTTTCTAAAATATGGCGCCAGTTAGACTGGACACAACTTTTCCAGAATCGCAGGTAAGACCTCCTCGTTAAAGTTTTAGTTCAGCGACGATTAATTCTGCCCTCAAGACAAGGCATGCGCCAATACACGCTTGAAATTGATTGCGTTCATGAACGCAAGGCGTATGCATGGCGCATACAAAACTGAGATTGATCAACGCCAAGCGCAGTATCTTTTGCGCTTCTGAGCGTACAAGTAAGTTCTATAAGACGGCAAAGCACAGTACCCCTAGTGCCCAGCAGCGTTACGTTTCTTGTCAACCTTTTATATTATTGGGTTGGCATCTCAGCTTAGGGAAAGGGTGAAAGAATGAGCGGGGAGGGGGGGGGGGCAAAAGAAGATGGAGTGTGATTGACAAGAACATGTGGGAGAGAAGGGCGTGGCCGGAAAGAGGGCAGGTGATCGTGGAGATGGCTCATCTCTCAACTTCAAGTGGCACTCCTTCCATTTTTATGCATTTTCACATTATCTCCATTTGCTCCCACCTCTTCCTCGGTTGCCTTCCTTCAATCTTCTTGCACCCTACGCAACTCTCGTACTCTCGGATTTCCTCACTCACTACTCAATCGCCCTTTTTTACATTTCCTTAAACATCCGAAATGGGAGAAGTGCACAGTAGTTGTACCGCGCATGTCGACGCCGCCAGCCC